ATAAAGAAACTGTCACCGAGAGCGTCTGGTTGGCGAATGAGGATGAGTGAACATGTAGCTAAAAACAAAAAAAAAAAGTCCTTTGCTCTGCTCCCCTTGCTCCTGCAATTTTATTTTATTTTTTTATTATTTTTTTTTAAAAATTTTTTGGCTTATTAAGGACGTTTGATTTTTGAATATTTTTATTCTTTTTTGATAAAAGTTGGGCATACAAAGAATGCAAATAGCAATTGTTGATTTTATGGCTTTTATCACCTACAATGCAATTTAATTAAATTGGCACATCTAATAATTTGTGTATCCTATAATGTTATGGGCAAAACATAATTATTCTATATGCTTGCATTTTAGAAGTGTATTTATTAGACTATATGTTGTTCATTATATTTGTTAAAGTGAATTTATATATTAGACCCATGCTTTAAATACCGTACCGTACCGGCCGGTAATACCGGATACCGGCCATTGGTACGGTACAATTACACTCAAAATACCGAATTTACGGTTATACCGGTTTGTACCGGGATCATACCGCAAAAAATCGCAAAATGCCGGTCCAAAATACCGGTCAATAAAAAAAAATAATAATAAAATTTTTTAATTTTAAAAAATAAAATTTAAATTGGTAGTTAAAATGTTTTATTTTTATCTCAATGAGAAGTTGAAATTAATGAAAATAGTCACTTATTTTTTTATTTTTTTTGCATTTGGTATTATATATTTTTATGTATATTTATATATATAATTATACTTGCTAATCTGGTAATACCACCGATATTACTGGTCCTACCGGTAATACCGCGTACCGATGGCTAGACCGGTATGACCACCGGTACGATATTTAAAACACTGGCGATAATAATAAGTTCACCAATTAATTGAGATACAGACATATTTACAACTACAATACTTATTTATTATACGGGTGTTTTTTAATAAATTGTTGTGAAATTTTAAAATTAACGAGAAAAAATATTTTTTAATGTTATTTATTTTTTTATGAAAAATATATATTATTATATAGTTTAGAATGACATTTGTTATTTGTACCTACTTGCGTGTACTATATTATGGTAATTTTTATAACTTATATCATATAACTATTTGAAATATAAAAATATTTATTGATAAATAATTTTATTTTTCTAATTAATATTTAAAAACAATTTTATTAATGTTATAAAGATTAATATAATTTTTTTATACATACAATATGGATGTTAAATCGAAACACATCAAAAGATGATTAATTTGATATATTATATATGCAAAACAAATAAAAAAATACAAAAGTCATGAACTTTTAAATACATTACAATTCCATGGATATAATAAGAAATTATATTAAAATACAATTACTACATGTAACATGACCATAAATAATCAACGTATTTATAGATAATCAGGACCTAATTATTTTTGGATTGGAGCTTACCCAAACTTAATAACGAGGCATGTAACTTTGTCGCATAGGATCCCGAAACATGTGAGTCTGCCATTTAGATTTAGCACGTTCTAATTAATATAGAGGAAATATATCCCAGTTACATCACACTAGTAGATATCCTGTGCACATGCACAGATGTACATAAAATATTCTAAGTAATATTTGAGAATTTAACATTAAAATTCTAGATAATGAACATATTACATTTTAAAAAATTTGATCATTAGGAAAAATAAATTAACGATTTTATTATTATGAACAATTATTTATTATCATTATATAATTATAGTTTGATTATTATTATTATTATTATTATTATTATTATTATTATTATTATTATTATTATTATTATTAGTAAGAAACAATTGTTTATAAGATTCTAAAGTTGTTTGACTATGCTATTAAAAAACAATTTACTTATTATTTTTAAAGAATTTCTTTTTCATGAGATACAAAAGAAAAAGATAATATTGATGTTAATATAAATAACTTGAAACAATTGTTTCTAATTAGGTAATTTATATTTATTGTGAATTATTATTAGTTGGTATTAGCAATAACTATTATATAATATAATAGAAAAAATACATGATTACACTTAATATGATGTATTAATGTGAGAAGTAAAAAATATTAATGTTAAATTTTGTAACCGAAAATGGAGGGAAAAATGTTAGAGGTTTTATTAAATAGGTTTTATTAAATATATGCTAGCAATTATATATATATAGATGTCACACTTGCTGTTTCTAATTATTGAATTACGGACTACAAGCATATCATATACTAATATGTTTAGTGAGTCAGACATTTTTAAAAACAAAGTGTGTTGGAAAATATTTGTGGTGGCTAGCTAATTTTATTTCTATGGGCGATTTATACATTTTATGGAAAAAAATTATTAATTAAAATTTCATTTTATATTTATAATTTGATTATGTGAAAGAGCGTACATTTCATTTAAAAAAAAATAAAATTTAATTGATGCATGTTGTTTTTAATTGAATACTAGTACAACGCCCATGTATTACACGGGTGCTTGCTAAATTTTTTTCTTAGAATTTAAAATTAATGAGGAAAGGTTGTTGAAAATTAAATACTTTTTATAAAAAAATATATATTATTTTATATTTTAGTATGACACTTGTTACTTGTGCAACTTACATGTGTTATATTATAATAATTTTTCTTAACGTATAGCATATCCTCTCTATATATAATTCCCGAATGTGTTGAGCCTACGCGGCTGCTTCTGGTGCTTCGGAATCTTACTTAACGAAGAATCATGCTTCGTAATTAGGTTTGGACAAATAATATTGATATATTAATAATTAATAATCTAGGTTCAGGTATTCCATATTATTTAGCTAATTTAGGTATTTTAATATCACTTGTACTAATATAACCCTTTAATTCTTTGTAATTTTATATAGTGAGACACTAAGTGACTAAAATATCACTGAATTTTGATTTGTTTCCTTCAATAAGCTATTGAATTATAAATGTATTTTAAAAGTTGATAACTTTTGTATTTCTTATCGGTTTTACATATATAATATATCAAATTAATCATTTTTTGATGATCTTCGATTTGACATCCATATTGTATATATGAAATAAATAAATTATATTTATCTTTATAATAATAAAAAATAATAATATTTATTAAAATTCATTAGAAAAATAAAATTATTTTTCAATTGATATATTTATAGTTAATATAGTTATATATTGTAAGTTAAAAAAATTAGTATAATATAACACAGGTAAGTCGCACAAATAAAAAATGTCATAATAAATATATAATAATATATATATTCTCATAAAAGGTATTTAAATTTTCAAACTACTTTTTCTCATTAATTTTAAATTTTAAGAAAAAAATTAGCAAGCACCCGTGTAATACACGGGTGTTGTACTAGTAACTACAGTAAACATAAATATAAATATAAATATATTAATTGAGAAATAATTTTATTTTTCTAATTAATTTTAATGAATAATTTTATTATTATTATAAAGATAAATATAATTTATTTATTTTATATATACAATATGGATGTCAAATCGAAACTCATCAAAAAATAATCAATTTGATATATTATATATGTAAAATCGATAAGCAATACAAAAGTTTTCAACTTTTAAAATAAATTTACAAGTCAATAGTTATAATAAGAAATGATATTAAAATATAATTAATACATCTAAAATGATCATAAATAAATCAACATATTTATGGTAATCCGAACCTACTTATTTTTGGATTGGAAGTAAATTAAAATTTATTCAAGCTTAATAACAAAGCATGTAACTATGACACATAAGATTCCGAAGCATGTGAGTCTGCCACTTAGACTCAGCACATTCTGAATTAATATATAGCGGATATTACTAAACTGATAATGTAACAAAACATCTTAAACAATAGGTAAATAAATAATACTTAATTTAAACTCTTAGTTTATTTATTTTATTTAAAATTAAAAAGGCCATATCACTTGTTAGGTCTCTTTCTATATATAGCCCCACAAAGCTCACCTTTTCACAATCTTATCTACTATAATCTAATACATTAAATTTCATTAATATATCTTTCTATATATCTTACACACTTCAATTTATTCCCTTTCATTTATAGAATTAAAATCTGGTTTTCTTAAATAATTATAAGTAAAATAAATACATAAATAAATGGAAGGAGTTCTACATGGTGGTGGTGGTGGTGGTGAAGGCACAAGCTTTAGGGACTGTTTGGCACTGGCAACCAAAAACCCTTATATTCTCCGGCTCGCCTTCTCGGCCGGCATTGGCCGCCTTCTCTTCGGCTACGACACCGGTAAATAATTAATTAATTAATTATGTGTATCATATATGTATATCAATTTTATTTTTTATTTTTTGAGTCTTTGGGAAAATTGCACTTAATTATTGTTTGATACTATATAATATTTTGATGATATTGTTTTTTTTGTGGTAATTAATGACAGGAGTCATATCAGGGGCACTTCTATATATTAGGGATGATAGGAAAACTGTTTTGCAGGTATATAAATAGAGGAAATGCAACGGTACCATCACGTCGGGTGTCTTAACCGTTACATTATTTATTTTATCTAATTACATGTGAATCTAATGGTTAAAACACCCGACAAAATGGTACCTGTTACGGACAGTAGCATTGCGGTCAAGTTTGCAACAATAATAAATCACAGTTGATAAATTGCTTGATTAGATTACGGGAAGATAACCACGTCTCTTTGTAAGGGTTCGTGTCGGTCTGTGATTGGTTGAGCTAAGCGGTGGTAGTTCACTTTGATAATGAATAGTGCACTTTGAATATTAAGTCAAAATATATTTTGAGGCCACAAATAAGATTTGATATTAAAGATATATATATTTTTCGTAATATTAGTCTAATGCAAAATAAATTAATATTAATTAATTTATATCTGCTCAACTTTTTTATGTTCTTTTAATAGATAAAATTCATCCTATTCCACAAGTTTCCACACAAAATGTGTAGTGTATTAGTTAAATGAGGATAAAATTAAAAAAATATGTACTCCCTCTTATTTTTAATATTTGCTATTTTGAGAAGTAACACGCTAATTAAAAAAAATTCTTGTCAATATTAACCTTGTTTAATGGATATTATGGATATTATGAAAACTATGGATGTGAGATATAAAGAGACACTTTGTATTGATAGAGTGTTAAAAGTAAAAAACATAAACAAAATAGTCAAAACGACATTTATTAATCAATAATTTATTAAGCTAAATGACAAATAATAAAAATAGAAGAGAATATAAAAGATCTGAAATATTAGTTATTTAATTATGACCAATAAATCTAAAATGATAAATAAAAAGAATAGAAAGAAATATAATAAAGACTCGAGACTTGACGAGTGGAGAGAATCCATGTTTGAGTAAAAGTTGTTCATATTAGAGAGGAAAAAAAAACACAACTATATCTAATTATTTTACGAATATGTTAACATATTTGTGAATTCAAACATGAAGCTAAATAATTACAATGAAAAATTTGAAAACATTAGCATAAACAAGAATAAGATCTTATTAACTCCAATTTGGGAAAAAGTCAAACATGACACCGTATTAAAAAAAAAAAAAAAAAACTGTAATATTTAATTAACTAATATTTAAAACGGGAGAGCATAGTGAGCACGGCGCTAGCCGGCGCCATCATCGGCGCGGCTGTCGGCGGCTGGTTCAACGATAGATACGGGAGGCGCACGGCCATCCTGGTTGCCGATTTCCTCTTCTTCGCCGGCTCCGTCCTGATGGCCGCCGCCCCGGGTCCCGCCGTCCTGATTGTCGGCAGGGTTTTTGTGGGCGGCGGCGTGGGGATGGCCTCCATGACCTCGCCGCTGTACATCTCCGAAGCTTCTCCGGCGAAGGTCAGGGGCGCGCTGGTCAGCACCAACGCCTTCCTCATCACCGGCGGCCAATTCCTTTCTTACCTCATTAACCTCGCTTTTACCAAGGTATTGTTGGATATTTGGTGTCAAAATTACACGGGAATCCTACGAACTGATATGTATTTTCAGTTCTTACAAATAATCTAAAAATAGAAAATTACAATTGAACTGAAAAATAAAATACAACTGAAAAAACGGAAAGATTTTAGCCGAGGCGATAAAACTCTTTCCGCAAGAAGAATACGCCCCGTGTGGCTGCTAACGGTTAAGGCGTAACTTCCCCAAAGATACAACGACAAACGTCTCTAAATCTGTAGCACACCAGATTTACGAGCTACGGCGAACGGGAACGGAGTCGAGAATTGAGCACTTAGAAATAAAGGAAATATTTCAAAACAAGAAAAAAAAAATATCACTTGTTTTCCTTTTTTGATATTTTTATATCCGATATTTGGACATATATTTTTCTTTCTTTCCTTTCTCTTTTCTTTCACTCTTCTTTCTGTATATTTTCTGTATGTTTTCTGTGTACTTCTCCCTATTCCCGAATGAAGTATTTATAGAGGGAGATTTGATAAAGTTGGCCAATTTGCCAACTAATCCCACGCGGTTTTTCCACAAATTGCATTTTTTTTTTTTTTTAAACACA